TATAGTACTGCAGTAAGACCTCTTTTTGCCATTTTCCTTTGTACGCGATGTCGAAATATATTGTATATAAAACATAAAAAAAAACACTAAAATATAGAGGTTGGGTTGTGTACTAAACTCTGTTTTCCTATCAAAGGATGCTCTTGTTGCCTACCAGTTGGTTAATCCAGTTGCGTCAACGCGGAAAGATTCAAATAAGAGTGAAGGTTTGTTCGTTTTGTTCTGTTAATTGCATACACTATGGTAGTTGTCTTGCAATGACAATATTAAAAAATATACTGACCAGAAGTTTTCTTTTTCAATTTATGTAGCTATAGCGGACAATGCTGAATCGGATGAGGTATGTTGCCACATGCTTCGTCCTAAATTATATACGTGTTCCAATCCCAATCTGCAAGCACGCAACCATGTACAGTAAAGCCTGGTTCACACGATGAAATAAGCACAAGCCGCGGAACCTTTGATGTGCATAAGCATAAACATAAGAAGAACAAATGTTGCGTTCTTCTTATGCCTACGTTTATGCACATCAAAGGTTCCGCTGCTTGTGCTTGTGCTTATGCTTATTTCATCGTGTGAACCATGTACAGTAACTCCATATAGCTTGCAGGACGTTGTTTTCAGGCAACCTGCTCTTGCTAAGGCCACATTTCTCATTTACAGGAAATGGATTTACCCTAAATAGGAAATAATTTTTTCAAGTAACAAATGTAGGACTGGATATTACTTCCTTGTATTTGGGCGCTTACAAGTATATTTTAATTTAACGTCCAACGTTATTCAAACCCTGCTCAAGGTATTTTTCTCAACCTCATTCAGTAATTGTTAATTATTTAGATTTCATATAAAAAAAGTCAAGTTAATGAGCAGGAAGTCAATGATTCTGTTACAGCTTGGAATACTCAGAAAGTACCGAAACGACGTGTTCTTGAACACCCAATGTAAGTTTTTTGTTCGTAATTTTTATGCAACGCGATGAATGTATTTCAGTAGTTACTACATATAGCTTCACGTGAGCACATGCAATCTCAAACGTTTGTGGTTTAGTACATTCAAATCCATACGTTAGGAGTGAGGCCGCACCATAAATCGCTATTGTATAATCACCAGTGAAACAATTTGTGTCGAAATGTTTGTGTCTTAAGAGGCAATTTTCTTAAGAGGCAATTTTTTTCAATGTCACGTATTTACAATGAAAAGTGTTCAAAACCTAATATCTTTTTGGCGTTCCTCTCAGAATCACTTTGTTTTTGCTTTATTCTCTCCAGGTGATCTTGATACGCGGAAAAGTACTGGCACTAGTTGTCAAATAGAAATCCATTTTATGATTAAAACAACTGAATATCTCCTGTAATATACTTTATTTCGATTCCATATTTTTGTCAGAGCTATAGTTCTCATAACCAAACATAATTACAAAATTTCAACTAGTTTCATAAAGAATAACGAAAGATATAATTGACTGAATACATCAAAATGGATTTCTATTCGGACAACCCTTTCTGAGCACTGATTGGCTAAAATACGAACACGAGATCACCTGGGGCCGATTGTATAAAAAAGTGATTAAAGTTAACTATAGTTAGTGGAAACGTCATCCAATAAAAAGCGCGTATTTGAGAGTTAATCACTATTTAACTACAAAATAGTGATTAAAAAAGTGATTAAGAGTTTTATACAACGGCCCCTGGTTATTTCAGCAGCGAACGAAAAAGAGTTAACTACTTTTTAACTGCAGTTAGCGCTAACTACGTTTTTATACAACCGGCCCCTGGCTAGTTTATACAGTTAACTACCTTTTTAAATGCATCTGCCGGTTGAGAAACATAAAATAATAGTTTTGTCAATTAAAATACAATTATCAATGATGCTTTAAAATTGACGCCATATTTAAGCCATATAAGCAAAACGTACTGAACTTCAGACATAATTTTCTCTTTGGTGTATCATCTAAAATCTCTTCATTTTAGCATTATTTTACAGGTAAAGCACTAAACATACTTTTTAAGTTTGTTTGCCGATTGAGAAACGTATCGAAAAATAAAAATTTTGGATTTAGTCATAACCTCAAGTGGTATATTATACGCATTAGTTTTGAGCGCGTGTTACGTAACATACTAGAAAATACATGCATGCAGAAACCCTCGCCTTGCTGACAAAACCATTGTATTTTCCGAACATGAAGTATCTAAAGTAGTTGTCATCATGTCATGGTAACACGATAATATTTTAAGAATATTCTTACAAATGAAAAATCGCCTAAAAATATCACTTTTAATTACAAAGTTATCAATTTCCCAACATATATATGTTAGGTACTATGTTATTATACGTAATATAAGCTTCATTTGAAACAAACTTACCTTCGTTAACGTCGGCTCCCTTCTTCTCCCCACACACCAAACACTCCAACACCGTTGGTGACCCACGCCCGCGATAATTGATGAACTTTAAACTTCGCTAATGCTTTCGTTTCCCCGGGTGTAAATAGCCGGGGGGAATTAGTACCCTCGCACGGCGCTTCGCGCCGTCGGCTCGGGGACAAAAAAACTCCGGCCTCTTAATAAGTTACGACTATTGATTAGATGCGTGAACTGTGCAGTGACTCATGGGTTATATAAGCAGACCGGGATTCTGACTGATATTTTGAGCTTGTTGAAATACAGCAGCTGATCATGCTGGATCTGTTTCAGTTCTTGTAATGTGACGTATTATTGGTCAAGGCTCTATCGAAGCTCTCAATGATTCATCACTGTATCATTGTGAGTCAATATGAAGCCGAGAAAAAAATATTTTCTTTATGGTCGCTAGATGACAGCAAACCTCCTGTCTTCTGGCATCACCCAGGGAAAGAACACTGAATTTTTATTTGTCAATGACTTTCGTCTCACCTTTTCCATGCATTCGAATAGATAGGGAAACATTTTTAAAACATTTTTTTTAACTGACAAGATATGAATTAATAACTGTGATCGTTCTTTTACCATGCAGTCATGCAGAACGATTTTCAACCACAGTTCGCAGTCCGTTGCGAATCCTCCTTGAGAATCGTTCCGTGTAACATCGCTTTGAAACCAAATTTATACTGCTTGCAAGGGAAGGCAAGTAAGACGGCCTGGGTTGCCATGGGTTTGTGTTGTAGGCAAAGCCGTTTGGTCGCGCATGTGCAGGGCTTTGGTGGCATGTGCTGGCTTCGGTGGCATGTGCTGGCTTCGGTGGCACAATCGTTAGTCCTTACAGCAAGCGTCTTTCACCTCTGAGATCGAGAGTTCGATTCTTTCTTCGGACTCTGGTCTTGCAAATAGGAAATAATTTTTTTGCGAGGCAACTTTGGTTTCATCTTAGCTTATGTGATACATGCGTCGATGCTTATGTAGTCGCCAATTCCCTTTTTGATTTGCGGCTTCGCCTTATACTTTGTTGCTAATCTCCTATACGCTTTACTGTTGTACTTAACCATTGTTGTATTTTGCAGTTTACCTAAAGATGGTGAAAAGAACATCCTCATTACCTCAGCACTTCCTTACGTGAACAATGTTCCTCATTTAGGAAACATCATTGGTTGTGTTTTAAGTGCGGATGTATTTGCAAGGTAACGCATCCTTATAGAAACTTTAATTTTATACTGTCCACAACTTTTATACAGGGTGTCTCAAAAAAACGCTACGGAAATTCAACAGGCTGTCGTGCATCGTAAACGTAGCTAAACAGTTCGATTTTTACATAGGAAGAAAGAGCCTGCTGCAAGCTATTTGTTTCATAAAACGTTTTGATAACGAATGTTCTCTGTTCAGGGGTTAATTGAACCATGTTTCGTACCAAATTCGTATTGAGTTATTGTCTCACTAAGACGAAGCTTGACGAGTTGAGCTTATTTTAGGCCCGTTTCATACGCCGTACTTCACATGTGCCGAATACATTAAAAACAATAGGTAATGAGGCATTTCAGCTCATTAGCTATTGTTTTTAATGTATTCGGCACATGTGAAGTACGGCGTATGAAACGGGCCTTAGATAATTTAACATTCAATTTTAATTCCCTTTTGGGAATTGTTTATGTTTCGTTTTCGATGCAATTCCCAACGGTGGAAGAATGTGATTTCGACCGGCAATTTTTATTTGACGAGTATGTGGCCATTTCTCATCGTTACGACTTAAAAAGAGTATCATTGAAAAACTAAATAACTGTTCTTTCGTATATGTAAAAATTGAATTGTTTAGCCACGTTTATGATGCACGACAGCCTGTTTAATTTCCGTAGCGTTTTTTTTTTTAGACACCCTGTATACATAAAATACGAACGCATTATTAAGTTTAGTACTTAATTACGAATATTTTATCCATTCCCGAATCTCAGTTACACCTTATATTGTCAGGGACGCCGGAACGATGTGAAGGCAAGGGGGGCAGATTTTCGTGAAAGGGCACTTTTGAATTGATATATACTAAGAGATGTTTGCAAAACATCGGGAGTTGAACTTCGCCTAATCATGTTTTCTATTTATTGGATGATAGGGGTGTGAGGGGGTTCTCCGCCAGGCGATTGTGCTATTCTTGAAGCTCGATGACTGCATTTCTTGCGTTTTCTGAAGCAAATTCGTACTGAAAAGAATTGCACTAACATTTCTGACAATTCGCCATTTCGCTAAGGCAATCCTTTAAATTGGAAGGGCACCTTTGCCCCCCCCCCCCCTTGCCCCTCCTGGTAAAGGGCAACGGGGGCGGCTGCCCCTCCTGCCCCCCCAGTTCCGGCGTCCCTGTATATTGTTGATACGTTTTGAATTATTTCGTTATTATAAATATTGTGTGCAAATATTAAAAATATATAGTTTTATACACCGTTCAGAGATTGGGCCGCTTGTGGGCAAAAGTAACGTTTTCAAACAATTATCAGTCATTGACATTTTGATGCGCAACAAAGAGTCAAAGTTCAAGATAGGGTAGATAGCACATATCTCATTCTCAAGCAGACAATATTTCACCATTCATAGTGTCCTCCCTTACTTCATATAAAAACCAGTTTTCGGATTGAATTTCGCGTTCGGCGACAGACTTCCATACAAGCTTTTCAGGTATCCTTCGGTGTTAAATGGCGCTGGAAACATTTCCCCTTCAAGTTCAATACTGCGCAACGGAAAGACGTCCTTGAAGTAGACTGATTTCACAATTGGATCTATGTAGTAGAGTGGTACATACTTCTCTTTGACATGTTGGTAGAACTGCAAATCAGCTGTGCAGTGATGAAATGAAGCCCCTTTGTATTTTGGCGCAAGTAGATTATATTCTCCATACCTCGGATCGTAGACTTCGATCTTATCCGCATACGTTGTCACGTATCTCGCTTTGTACGGAGAAGGCAGCAGCTGTTTGATCTTTCTCAATATGAGAGGAATTAGGGGTTTGGGGTTGTTCTCGGAAAACATTGCAAAGTCGAAATCATCTTTCCACAGTATGAAGCTACCATTTCGCCAAGCTCCAAGCAAAGTGCCACCTTCCATCACCCATGGCATGTCAAGTTTATTCAAAATTTTATTGCGAAGTAAAACGGCTAGTCTCATTCTTGGTTTGCCGTATTTATCCATGCCCGAATTAATGAGCCTTTTATAGTTGTTATCCGAACTCGTATTTGCTGTCACACTCGCTATGAACTTGTCCAAAATAAGAGCGAAGGACAATGACAAAGCGAAAGCCAGTGTCTGTGACCGAAAGCCAACAATCAACATTTTGGAACGAAGGACAGTGACAAAGTGAAAGCCAGTGTCTGTGACTGAAAGCCATCAATCAACATCTTATAATAGTTTTGTTTGTGGAAACACCACGTAAATCCACAAACAAAACTATTATATTTTATCACCATGCAAACATACAAAGAACTTATTAATCAACATCTTGTTGTTTTGGTTGGGAAACAATTAAGATGCCATTTAGTGCACGTGTTCAATTTTAAACATGCAGATGCCTAGCTATTAAACTGCTATAAACGCTGTCGAAATTTATATGTTTAAACTAGGGCATTGTATATAAAATATTTATGTTTCTGTGCCTTTGCCATGAAAAAATCGCCAATATTTTGGTCGAAATATAAGCGTTCTCTTGCCAGTTTGCGCTTGCAGCTGAGCTGAAAAAGATCTGTAGCTTTTGTTCTGACTGGAAAATTCCCGGGGGGTTTCCCGCTTTGAAACTGATACATCTTTCAAGCAAATTTGCTTTTTCAAGGAAATTGTGACCCTAAAAAGGAATGGAATCAAGAAAATCTGAGGAATTGAGCAATGCCTTGAAGATTCTTTCAGGGATCTTTTTATTACTTTTTATGTGAAAAAATCAGTGCTGTTTATTGACTAAGTTTGTGTGGATTTAGTTGATCTGTTTCGGCGCAAATTTACCAGTAAAAACAAACCGGTTTTGTGCCGTTAAAACATGGAAGAAATTTCTTTATATTTGGGAAATTTCTCTAGTTGAAGCAAGGAAAGAGCTTGATAACTTCGTGCTTTTCCAAGACATATCGTCTATACTTCGCTTTCGATACATTTTAAATAAATAATTAATTGATTAAAATCATGTTATATACAAATAATTTTTTTTTTTAATTACATGGTTGGCGGTAAAATAAATCGATTTCGCTGTAACACAGCCTCTTCAGTACTCCGCAGTGGTACTCCGCCATCTTGTTTTTAATTATTATGTACTTCATGTACTTAAAAATACAAAATAAAACAAATTCCGAAAATAGACATCTTGTGTATCTTGAATATCAAGAACACAAGATGTTTATTTTCGGAATTTGTTTTATTTTGTATTTTCATGTATAGTTAAAGTAGCGCGTTGAAACTTTATGTAACCGTCAACTTAGTGTCTCACTCTTCACTCTATTACTACTCGGGGAAAGATAGAAAAAGGACTTGTAAGAGCTTCGTTGGTCTAGGCGTCACAGGCCGACAGTACGCGAAGGTGATATAAGTGACAACAATGTTAGTGGAGAAAGCAGCGAATACGTTCAGTAGTGAGGCGGATATGTGTAAAATTATTGATCAGTAGTTCCCGTTGAGGTTAAAAGCATCAAACTTTTACAATTGATGTTGTTTTATTTGCTTAATAGATATTTGAAGTGGGGCCATCGCTATTTTGCTGCTAACTCCTGAAAACGGGTGATTAGTGATTTTCTTCTATTGAATTCTATTATAGCCAAAACATGTGAAATTTTGTATTCAATTACAACAATTATGACTTGCATCATCAGAAATCTTATAAAAAAACTGCATATAAGACATTTAGACAGTTTTTTGATTTCTGAAATAGTTTTCGAATTATAAACTATTAAAAACGCATTTTCAAACATCGAATAATTAATTAGAGACTTTTAGCGAGATAAGGGAGTGTTCATTTTTTCTACCCGGGGTTGGTACCGAAGAGAAATGGGTTGGGTAAGCCATTTTTCTGGGGTATGAAGGGTTGGGTAAATATTTTTTGAACAAAGCCTATGGTTGGGTAAATTATTTTCAATACAAACCGGCCTTCAATTGAACAAAATATGAAAATCCTTTATTTAACAAAATGGGTCATTCCAGGAAATATCCATTCATTTTTCACAAAGAAAACTAAACTCCAACTCCCCATCCCCTCTGATTACAACAACGAGATATGGTAGGACTACAGGAACTTGGAGGCTTGGGAACATAATATGAACTTGTGAAGGTACAAATGATCATATTTGACATTCAGTTAGTGCACCAAATATGCACAGTACCGTTTATACTATAGTGGCCTAGCTTGTATAATAATATATATGTAAAATACTTGTATAATTTTGAAATTGGGTTGGGTAAAATAAAAATTCAAGTCATGCAATAGTTGGGTAGGGGAAAAAATGGTTGATCGAAAAGGTGGGTGGTTGCTTTTTTCTCTTTTCGATTAGTTTCTCTTCGGTACCAACCACGGGTATAAACAATGAACACTCCCTAATGTGCCTAATTTACAGCAATAACCATTTGCAGAATCAAAAAACTGTTTAAAAGTCTTTTATGTAGTTTTTTTACAAGCTTTCTGATGATGCAAGTTATATTTGTCGCGATTGAATTCAAAATTTCACATTTTTTGTTGTAGTAGAATTTAATAGCAAATAATGCTAATAGCATCGTAACTCTCTAAAAAAACAGTTTCACGATGGCCCCACTTTTGCATGTTGTTCTACTCATAAAAAGATGCTACTGTGCACAATTTGGTGCTTTTAACCCTCTTCGGAAACATCCATGCACATATCCGCCACACTACAGGAGAAGGAGCGAGTGCTGACTCGTCCCCAGTCGCTTGCTATCAAATAATTAATTAGGAAAAAACGAAAATACTTAATGAGGGAAAACGAAAAAACCCGAAAGGAAAACGAACAATTACAACGTCCTTAGTTGCGGGCGTGCGCCTAAAGGCGTGCGTCTTTATCGGGCTTGCAGTGCACGCGCTGATCTATATATTACTGATATTTAAATTTGATCTACAAGGGGAGCCTGCGGTGGAGGCAGGGCATAGATATCTTATATACACTAGATGGCGCATCTCTTTTAGTAAAATTGAAGCCAAGAATATTCATCATTTGAATGATTTGAAAATGTATTTGGAATAGGGTTAACTTAATGTTTAAGTTCCCTGTTTAAGAAATAGAAAACATACGAATCTTCTCATTTCATGGGAACGACCTGAGACTGCAATCACGGCTTCAATTTTTCAATTGCAGAATAATTAGATGCACTATCTAGTGTATATAAGATATCTATGAGGCAGGGACGGGTGTATGACCAAAGTAAAAGGTCCTTCAATTCTCGTTACATGAAAGTTACAGACGAAGTGGAGAAATCTAAGCCGTGAAGAAAGAGATGGACAGGACTGATATCAGGGCTTATTATTTAGTATTTTTGTGTTTTTTGGGGACTGAATTTATGTTAATTTCGCTTATTTCTTCATCAGTATAACTTCCACAAAACGGCTAGCCGCCATTTTGAAAATTTCGGTTTTGTTATATTTACCTGTAGGGGAATATAACAGCTAAATTGTAGGATTTGTTATGTTCACTTGTGCAAAAATACTAATGTTTAATATTGTTGACAACTGTGAAGAACGTAGGCATGCAGCAAACTGGGCAGCCGAAAACATTGTTCAATCCTGTTGAGCAGCGGGCTCAGCGTTTTTTGCCGTGTAATAATTAAAAACAAGATGGCGGAATACTGAAGAGACTGTGTTACAGCGAAATCGATTTATTTTACCGCCAACTTTAAAAATTTTTTTATTTGTATACAACATGATTTAAATCAATTTTACAAAGAAATTTCTTTAGTTCATTCATTCGGTTTTGCACTGATGCACTAAAGCAGGAAATGCAACGACAATGCAAATTATTGTCAACTCTTCTGGTTCGCTATGCTTGTAAATGAATACAGACTATAGAGATTCAATTCAAGAAATATTGATAACATTTCAATGCAGGTTTCTGTGGTCCTGACCATTGGAATGTAG